TTTACCCCTTTCTCCTGCTCTTCCGGCCTGCTACTCTGTGCTATGCCCGTGCTTACCTTGCTTTTACTGTGAGGTACCTTAAAACTCTTCTAGCTTCTACCCATTACCCAATTACAAAACTGCTTCCACGTTTTAGATATCTGTTAGGGGGCATCACCCCACCCTTGGTACTAAAAATTCTGTCTTAGTTTTCTGGTGCTTCCTTAACAGAAATACCACAAGTGGATGGCTTTAACAAACAGAAATTAATATTCTCATGGTTTAGGAACCTAGAAAACCACATTGAGGGTGTCATCTCTAGGGTAAAGCTTTATCTCTTAGCTCTGGAGAAAGATCCTTATCTCTTAGCTTCTGCTCCTGGGTGATTGTCATTTGACTTAGCATCAATCTTCCTTTAGATCTAGGAGGTTCTCAGTGGAGGACTCTGGGTCCAAAGGATGTGCTCTGCTCTTGGCTCTTCTTTCTTGGTGGTAATAGGCCCCTATGATTTCTGCTGGCTTTTTTAATCTCTTTAAATCTCAAAAGAAATTGACTTAAAATACAACCTAATCTTGAAGATTGTATCCTGCCTTATTAACAAAATTGCCTGTAATCCTGCCTTATTAACTTCATAGGTTAGGAGAATTGTATCAGATCACAAAATGGAGGGTAATTAACGCAACACTGAGAATCATGGAAGACACAGTTTAATCGATAACAGTGAGCGATGCCCATATAGTGTAGTAGTTAAGCATTCGACTGATAACTGAAATGTCAGTTGGTTTGAACTCACCCACTGCTACTCTGTAAGAGAAAGATGTGGCACTCTATTTCCCTAAAGATTACAGGTTTGGAAACCCCCTGGGGCAATTCTACTTTGTGCTAAAGGGCTGTTATGAGTAACAGTTGGCTCAGTGGCAGTGGATTTTGTTTTGTTTTATAAGGTGGCTTAACCACAAAATAATGAACATTTTGAAATCTCTTGTTACCTGTGCACACAATTTCTAGTAAAATTTTGGATTTTATTAAACAGATTCTCTGTTACCCTGTAATGTAGGAAGTTTTAAATCCTTATGTGTTGTTGATTCTATTCAGAATCATTGCTTTCTTCTCCTCTTCTTGCCTTCTACCCCCTCAAAATACCTGACACTCTTTTCTAATAGAATGTTACCACAGTTACTAGTTTTGCTGTTAATAGATGTTAGACCTGCTCTAGCTTTGCTTCTAGAAAGCCACGTGTTATCTTCTGCTACTGTGTTAAATAACAGAGTATCTGTTTTTATCGTTTATCTGAGCATGCTATATAATGATTTTGTATAGTCTTTCATACTACTTATTTTCATAAAGTCGGAACAACAGGGACATTCCTAGTATCCGTGTATTTAACTTGAAATAGAAGGGAAAATATAGATTGATAGTGAATGAAACAAACTTTTTCCTAGAATTTATAAATATAGATAATCTAACAATTACTGTTAAATAAAATGCCACTAGAGCTTCCACTTACTAATATACATAGTAATTATGTGTGTGTTTTTTAAGGATTTGTAGGGCCATTTCCACCAAAATTAACAGTTACCATTCATACCTCTATTGACTATAAATTGTATATTGAAGGTTTTTGTTTTTAATACATATTTTGTAATTTAAGAAGTCTGTTTTTGTCTTCTGTTTAGGGTAAACTTCATGACCCAGAAGGCATGGGAATTATTCCAAGAATAGTGCAAGATATTTTTAATTATATTTACTCCATGGACGAAAATTTGGAATTTCATATTAAGGTAAAGTCCTTGGGGAAAGATTGTATTTTACTATTATGAACACGTATAGGTGGAAGATCATTGGGATTAGTAAACTTGGATTCTTGTTGAGATCTGCCATTATAAGACTTAAAACAAATTATTTAAGTCTTTCCCATCCTTAGCTTGCTTGTCTATAAAATAAGGGAATTTGTTTTACCATAGTACTCACAGGTTTCTGCTACTTTATAGTTGATTCATTTTAGATGATGAAAAGGAAATTGATTTTAATTTTAGTTAGTTAAACAATTTAGCTAATTTATGTCTTCCCGTTAGAAGATGAGCTATGTCTGATTTATTGATAACTCTGTCCCCCATAATCTAGACAATGCCTGACACTCAGATCCCATTAAATATTTAATGAATAAGTGAATAAATCATTTCATAATTTTAATAGGTTGATCATGTTTTATTATGTCACCCTTTAGGTTTCATATTTTGAAATATATTTGGATAAGATAAGGGACCTATTAGATGGTAAGTTAATTTCTTTCTCTTTGATCATTTTTAAATGGCATCTGTCATTTTCTAGTATTATTCTTGAGACCATTTCATACACTATATGAAATTGACTTAATTATAGAACATTTTTAAAAATTTTATTTTAATGTTGTAGTTGAATATCTTTTGACATATAGAATAATTTGTTTAAAGCACATACATATGGGTGTTTTTTAAGTCGTAATAAGAGCATTGGACTGGGAGTTAGAGAACATGAGTCCAGAGCCCTAACCTTTTTTTTCATTGTTCTCAGGCAAACCTTTGAATGACTCTGGCTTAAAGTTCTTATTAAAGAATGGGAATGTCTTAGAGGTTGGACGAGACCTAAAATTCTGTATTGTCCATTCGTTTCTGTATGAATCTACTATCTCCATAGGGTCTTGCTTTAATAGTGATATTTTCATAGTTTATTAAAGTTTACGTATAGTCTTTAGGCTGCTTGGAGAGACGGTTGAATTACCTGTTTCACAGCCAGTGTTAGAGATTAAGAGTATATTACTAAGATTTAAAAAGGATTTTTTTTTCCAGTTTCAAAGACCAACCTTTCCGTTCATGAAGACAAGAACCGAGTTCCCTATGTAAAGGTATTTATAACATAATATAGAGTGGTTGTTTTGACGAGCCCTGTAATAATTTTGTTTAAGGATGTTGACATACTTTTAAAAATTATTTTACAGGGGTGCACAGAGCGTTTTGTATGTAGTCCAGATGAAGTTATGGATACCATAGATGAAGGAAAATCCAACAGACACGTAGCAGTTACAAGTAAGTCAGAATATTTATTAACACTGGCTAGGCAACAAAAGAACCTTAAAATAATCTTTATCTAGTTGATTGTCAAATAATGCATTGTGGTGTTGTTGTTGTTATGTGCCGTCGAGTTGGCCCCGACTCATAGCGACCCCTCCTTGGGTTTCCGAGGCAGTATCACTACGGAAGTAGGATTGCCCAACCTTCCTTCCGAGGAGTGGCTGGTGGGTTTGAACTGCCAGCCGTCTGGTTAGCAGGCAAGTGTCTTAGCCACTATGCTACCAGAGCTCCCTCCTTGATTATTTCATTATTATGCATTAGAGATATTAATAGAGAAAGCCATATTGCTTATAGTTATTTATGTAATTTCATTGCAGATATGAATGAACATAGCTCTAGGAGTCACAGTATATTTCTTATTAATGTAAAACAAGAAAATACGCAAACGGAACAAAAACTCAGTGGAAAACTTTATCTCGTTGATTTAGCTGGTAGTGAAAAGGTAAAATCTTTATATATATATATTTTTTTGGTAGATATCTAAGGATTTTCATGAACTAGCTTGAATTTATACTTACGCAGTATTCATTGTTGCATCTTGAGAAATTTTATCAAATTGATTTTGGTAATGTTTATGAGAGTTAAAACCATTGTACCCAGTGCTATAAGTTGTGAATAATCAGTTCCAAATTAGTGTATCAATTGGACCATAGTCCAGTTCAGCCAATAAGTTCTTTGACTTAAGTTGTTTTTATTGAGACTTTATTCAGCATTATCTATTGAGACTTAATCAGTGTATGTCTGTTAAGAATTTTATTAGATATCTTTCCTAATTTTTGGTTATCTATTTTATTCATACTGGCAGTGGGTTACTTGTTAAAACTGGTAACTCTTTGGTAGTCCTTTCTGGTTGTACTTCTTTGGATGATTATTTCATTATTATCATTTTATACAATCTGATTGATAAAATCTGCAAACCAAAAAATAACTCACTGCCGTTGAGTTGATCCTGACTCTTAGCGACCCCTCCTTGGGTTTCCAAGGCAGTATCACTACAGAAGTAGATTGCCCAATCTTCCTACCGAGGAGTGGCTTGTGGGTTTGAACCACCAGCCTTCTGGTTAACAGTCAAATGCCTTAGGCACAACGCTGCCAGAGCTCCTTGATACGATCTAGAGTGTATCAAAATAAGTTCAAATTCTTGGCTGTTTTCACTATTTTGCTAATGCTGTTCCTTCTGATTAAAATGATATACCTCTTCTACTCAGAAATCTTATATACATCTTTCAAAGCCTATCTCTAAATTTTACAGATTCTAAGAAGCGATTTCTTCAGGTGACATTGCTGATTATTCTAGCCTGTCTATAAAATGTACTTAGAGATTTTACTTTTTTTTTTTAAAGAAGCCTGCTTATATAATTAAACCCAGTCTCTTTTTCTGACAGTTGTAGTATCAACATTATGCTTCAGCAAATTTTACTAATTTTTTACTCCCTGCAGCGTAACAGCTCTCCTCCTACTTCCTCCCAGGAGTTACTCTTTCCCTGTGCATTCCTGCTTCCCTACCTTTCTGCCTGTGCATATGCTGCTCATCTGATCTCCCATGGTTGATAGTTCTAAGGAGTGCCTCTCCTTGGTGGAGTTGTTTGTTTTATAGACCTGTCTGTTGTTTGGCTGAGAGTTAAGCCACAGGAGTGAGTTGAATTCTAGGCCTGAAGGGTAGCTCTGGTCCATAGTCTCAGGGCTTTCATTAGTCTTTATCTGACTAGTAAACCTAGTCTTTTTATGTTTTTGAATTTATTTCCACATTTTTTCTTCCACTCAATCCAGGATCTCCAATTTTGGTCCCTTTCCAAGTGGTTGACATTGATAATAGCTGGGCACCATCCAGTTCTTCTGGTCTCAGGGTCTTATGGGCTGAGGGTTCTCATGTTCCATTAGTCCTTTGGACTGTGTTTGTATGTGTCTTTGATTTTCTTCACTCTTCTTTGGTTGGCAGATTTTAAAAGGCTCTGATTATTTAATGTAGAAAAAGGGACTAATAGATTAATGAGCTAAAAGTTTACATGTAAATTGACCGTTTTCAAGAGTATAATCTAAAAATAAAATTTGCTGTTTCTGTAATCACATTCTTGTGCAATCAGTTATTGGACCACAGTTCTCAAGAATGGTGCTCAAGAAATACTGGTGCCTTACAGTAAATTATTGGCAAATCATATGAAGTAATTCATGTTTTGGTTTGGTTTGGGATTTTTGCTATTTCCTATTTATTGCTGAACTTTGAACTTTTTAGAAAATGCAAAGAAAATATTTTACACTGGTAATTTATTTCATTATTTTGAAATCTTACGTATAGGTTAGTAAAACTGGAGCTGAAGGTGCTGTGCTGGATGAGGCTAAGAACATCAACAAGTCACTTTCTGCTCTTGGAAATGTCATTTCTGCTTTGGCTGAGGGTAATGTAAGTATATGAAAGTCTTCTTTCTCTGTGGTTATATTGTGGGAAATTATTTAAATATTGATGTTTATATAGGCAGTCCCCAAGTTACAAATGCCCATTTGACTTATGTACAACCCATAGTTAGGAACCAGTGCACATAAAGCCTTCCTTCTCCTGGTATGGATGGCTCTCTGGATCCACTCCAGGAAGAAATGATGTGATGCCACCTGGTTAATCACAGCTCCAGACACTCATTGGCCAAGTGCTCTTCAGCTTCTTCCTCCTCCTCTGGTTCCTTCTCTGATTTTCTGCTTTTTGCAGCTGGCTCCTTCGCTTTGCAACCATTTTTCTTTCTCTGTGACTGTCTTCTCCATTGCCATCAAGGGGAAAGCACCCAGCCATCACCTGCCATGGCTGTGGCCATCTTCCTGCTGCCATCCTTCCCGATTGGTGTGTTCTCTCCTGCCCTTCACCCCTTTTCCTCCTCTTCCTCTTCATCTCACCTTCCCTCCCTCCCCTGTGTCTTGGTACCTGTGGCTCTTGCTGCTGCTTCTGCCACCACCAGCCTATTCCTTGACCAGCCACACTGAGCCTAGGGCTGGCAAACCCCTGGCCCCATGTGCTACTTCACTGCAGCTGCTGCTCAGAACCAGCTGCTGGCCCTTGGCCCCACAGAGTTCTGGGCTTCAGCTATACATTGCCATCCTGCGCTGACTTGCAGCTCCTGGCTTTCTCGAACTCCACCTCTTCTGGCTCAGCATCATGCCTCAAAACGTCACTACTGTATTATTGTGTTAAAGATATTTTAGTATATCTGAAAATATTTCTTCAATGTTTCTTATGCATAGAAAAATGTACTATATACTGTATACTAAGACAAACATGTGACTAACTGATGTTAGATATGAACTATACCTAACTGTTCTGACTACAGATTCAACTTAAAGACAGATTAGGAATGGAACTAGTTCATGATCTGGGGATTGCCTGTATATGGATGAGTGCATGTATGAAAGGGAGAGAGAAATAATAGTTGTGTTTGAATTAGTATGGGTAAGTTAATAAGTTCATTGAGTTGTATAAATTTGTTTTATAATATTAGTGTAATACATGTAAGGAGCCCTGGTGGCTCAGGTTAAAAGTGTTCAGCTACTAACCGAAAGGTAGGTGGTTAGAATCTAGTAGCTGCTCCAAGGGAGAAAGATGTGTGACAATCTGATTCCATAAAGATTTACAGCCTTAGAAACTTTGTAGGGCGGTTCTATTCTGTCCTGTAGGATCATGATGGAATTGACTAGATGGCAACAGGTTTTTTATCGTATGCATATCCTAGTTCCTGTCTTAAAATCAAGCAGTTAAAATAACTGAATTCACTTTGTAATTTATTTAAAGTATCATGTTTATATAACAGTATATAGAAGCTCTTCAGTCTTTTTTTTTTTCTTTTTTGTATGTAGACATATGTTCCATATCGAGATAGTAAAATGACAAGAATCCTTCAAGATTCTTTAGGTGGCAACTGTAGAACCACTATTGTAATTTGCTGCTCTCCATCATCATATAATGAGTCTGAAACAAAATCTACTCTTCTGTTTGGTCAAAGGTTTGTTGTTTAAAAAATGCAAAGCCTAAATGTGGGTAGGTCTTTTATTAAGTCTTAAGAAAATGTCAAATAGATATAATGCAAAATCAGATAATAGATGTTACTCAAATTAGTACATACTGTGAGTGTGCTAAATAATACTCCTTTCAATTGAAAAAGAGTTAATAATACCAGCATGATTTATCTTTTAGGTTGTGTGAATTTGAATTAAATTTTGTACACATTAAAGTCAAATGTTACTTTAGTCAAATTTATGGGAGAAGCTTTAATTCAGCACTGAGAAAAATGAGCATTTGAATCAGAAAATAAAGTAAAAGCCAAACAGATATAACTCAGTGTTAAACTTGTTGACATATTATGATAGGTTCAAATAATATGAGGTGGTTAGCCAAGGAAAATTAATAATGACGACTTTATCTTTGACATTTAACAGTAATTTCATAATTCAGCCTTACAAACAAAATGGGAAAATACTTTTTTTTTTTTTTATTGTGTTTTGGGTACAGATTTACAAAGCAGATTAGTTTTACACTCAACAGTTCATACACATTTTGTTTTACAGCAGTGATCACAATCCCAATAATAAACAGCTCTCCTCCCTGTGACTACCTACCCCTTGCCTTTGTCCTTCTTACTTGTGCATTCCTGTCTGTCTAGTATTCCCCCTGTGCAAATGCTGCCCATCTGATCTCTCACAGTTGACTGTTGTGAGGGATGCATCTCCCTAGAGTAGGTATTCTGTTGGGAAGTCTTTCTCTTACTTGACTGAGAGCTAATCCACGGAAGTGAGTCCAGGTACAGGCCTGAGGGATAGATAACCCGGGGCTGTAGTCTCAGACTCTTTTGGGCAATATTTGGACAACTTGGGTTGCTGGTTGTTGGTCTTTTTTTTTTTTTAAAACCATTCACAGAAGTTGGGTCTTAACCAAATTTTGTTGGGTTTTGAGTATACTGATTATATAGCTTTTATAATATTTAGTCTAAGAGATAAATGGGCAAGAAGAGTTAAATTACTTATATGTACATAGAGAGATAAATATCAATTGAAAATAATTGTTTTTAGTCACATCCTTTCTGTTTTTCCAATTACTTCTCTTAGGGCCAAAACAATTAAGAACACAGTTTGTGTCAATGTAGAGTTAACTGCAGAACAGTGGAAAAAGAAGTATGAAAGAGAAAAAGAAAAAAATAAGACCTTGCGGAACACTATTCAGTGGCTTGAAAATGAGCTTAACCGATGGCGTAATGGTAATGACTTACACATTTGTTTTTTTAGTTTGTTGGATAGAAATTTACAGCTATTTTATAAATTTGAGATTCTCATGTGGATATAAATAAAAATAAAGTATATCCATTTTCACTTTTTAGATACTTAGGGATCATCAAATAAGCATGTGTAGAATTTTTACATTAAATTCTGATATGACTTAAGATAGTATGTATAGAGTCACAGAGGCAAACTCAAGCTATAGAAGTCATGAGATGGCAGCGTGCTTAGGTTAAGGTGGTTGTTAACTAGGTGCCATCGAGTCGGCTCTGACTAATAGTGACCCTGTGGACAACAAAATGAAAAGATGCCCCATCCTGTGCCATCCTCACAATACTTGCTATGCTTGAGCCCATTGTTACAGCCACTGTATCAGTCCATCTCGTTGAGTATCTTCCCCTTTTTTGCTGACCCTTTATTTTACCAAGCATGATATGGTCCCTTCTGATAACATGACCAAAGTACATGAGATTCTGGCTGTACTGCTTCTGAGACATATTTGTTTATTCTTCTGGCAGTCCATGGTATTTTCCGTATTCTTGGCCAACACCACAATTCATATATATCAGTTCTTCTTCAGTCTTTCTTATTCATTGTCCAGCTTTCACATGCATATGAGGCTATTAAAAATACCATGACTTGGGTCAGGTGCACCTTAGTCTGTAGATAAAAATGACAAGACTTGGTGACTGGAATTGGAAGATGGGGAGGATCCAAGGTAATTGCATGTTTTCAAATCTCAGAAAATGGGCAGATAGGTTGATAAGAGGTGCTGAAATTGAATAAAAATGAAACTAGTTTTAGACATGAAGATTTCTGTTAACGATTCTGTTTTTGTATTTTAGGGGAGACAGTGCCTGTTGATGAACAATTTGACAAAGAGAAAGCCAACTTGGAAGCTTTCACAGTGGATAAGGATATCACTATTACCAATGATAAACCAGCAGCCACAATTGCAGTTACTGGGAACTTTACTGATGCTGAAAGAAGAAAGTGTGAAGAAGAAATTGCTAAATTGTACAAACAACTTGATGACAAAGTAGGTATTATTGCTCATGTTCTATTTTGTTTAAAAATACTATTGACTTTTTTTTTCCTAATTCAATATTGTGGATCTTTTTTATGTATAAATCTTCCTTGATACTTGTTAAAATTTTAAAAATTGTTACTAGCCAAAAATACAAAATTACAATTTCATCATATTTACTTCTTTGCAGAAACTATGCCTGAGGCATTTGTTTGAAGGAAATTTAACATTGGATAATTGGAGAGACAGAATGAAATGACCTGTTGCAGCTAGGGATCTGAAGGACCCTAATAAAAGATGACTAGATAAGACATTAGATGTGGGAACAGAATAGTATGAAAATAATAATGTTCCTGCTTTGCTTAATCAGTAATGTCAATAGTGTGAAAAATACCAAATTATGAAGTGAATAGAAAGAAAAACAAGGGCAAAAACAGTAGAGACAAGAAGAAATTAATTGTGCGTTTTTTTTAACTTGGTATTTTTTATTATTTTTTCCCCTTATGTAGCGATGGCAGGTTCAAAGTGGCTGATGGCTATCATAGCTTTAAACATGTTAATTATTTTTTTAGCATTTAGAACATTTAATGAGCAGTTTTCGTAATCATGTTTTCTTGTTGCATTTGTTAATGATTACAAGAAATTCTATTTCAACCTTTTCTCAAGAAAAGAGATCGAAATAAGTTATATTGGATTTTGAGAAAGGCTTTTAAAATATTTTTGGATGTACTGATCTTTTAGAAAAATAATAAACTGCAAAAAAAAAAGGCTTTGATTCTCCTTTGATTCATTTGAATTCTGTCATATCTAATTTTATAATTTGTGTTAAGAAACAGAACCAGGTTGTAAGTTAATTTGTTAACTGGATACCTTACAATTCTAGGACGAAGAAATTAATCAACAGAGCCAGTTGGTAGAGAAACTGAAGACACAAATGTTGGATCAGGAGGAGGCAAGTTGAATAATTTTTTCCAGAAAAGCTGTATTGTTTGACCTTAACATTTACATAGGTAGAAGATAAAAGAATTTACAGAGTTCAGAATACAGTATATTTTATAATTTCTTGAATATGTGCTTAATTCATTGTAGATACTTTATTAGGTCAGTGCATCATATATGTTGAAGCAGATTTACTTCCTCTTAAGATTTTTTTTTTTCCAATTTGCATTCCATCTAACTGGAAGGAGAAGAGGACTTTTTAAAAATATGTACTCTTTAAATACACCTACTGGACTTTTTAACTCTTCTACTTTCCTTACTTTGAAGTATAGTGTTGTTTATTATCTTATTCATCTAAAACATTTCTTTTTGATCTTGTGGGGAAGATGTTCAGCAGTGGGCTGGAGTAACCATAGACTCCCTCCCGTGCAATGAAAAGTATTTACACACAGAAATGAGAGAGAATATAAGAAACACATTTTTTCATTCTCACTCATTCACTTAAATATGTAGATTTAGTTCTAAGAGGATTACTAAAGTGTTGATATCTGAAGCTTGTTTACTTTGATTTTAATAATTGTATAATTCTGGGTATGACTCTGTCATGTGAGTGTGTCATATGAATAAAAATAATTTTTTTAGCTCTGGTAGCAAGGTTCCTAAGGCATCTGACTGCTAACCAGCAGATTGGTGGTTCAAACCCACCAGCCACTTGCAGAAGCTAGATTGAGCAATCTAGTTCTGTAAAGATTTACCGCCTCAGAAACCCAATAGGGGTCACTATGAGTCGGAATCACTTGACAGCAGTGACTTTGGTTTGGTTTGATTTTTCTCCTTTTGGAGTCCCTGGGTCATGCAAACAGTTAAAACATACTCAGCTGCTTATTGGAATGTTGGAGATTTGAGTCCACCAGAGGTACCTTGAAAGAAAAGGCATGGTGATCTCCTTCAGAAAAAAATCAGCTTTTGAAAATTGTATGATACAATTCTACTCTGACGCATATGGGGTCAGCATGAGTCAGAATTCTCAGTAGCAACTGGTTTTTTCTCTTCTGGATTCCTCAAAGGCAAAGCCTATTTGTTTTGCCTTTTGTCTCCCACTTGTCTAGTATAGCACCTGCACATAATAGACAATCAGTGAATCCGTTGAATAAATGTGTGTTGCTACACTTACACTTAAGGATTGTGAGGGTGACACAGAACCAGCCAGTGTTTTGTTTGGTTGTACATAGGGTCACTGTGAGTCCGAGCCGACTCAATGGGATCTAACAACCAAAGCGACACTTACTAAAATCCATATTTTAGTCCGTTTGTGCTTAGCAGATGGTAAGTTAAATAGATGTTTGTTTGTTTTGTTTTGTTTTTTAAAAAAATAAAAATCTGTATGTTTATTTTGGTTGAAAAGAGATAATTTTTTATTCTTTCATGTAGCTTCTAGCATCCACCAGAAGAGATCAAGATAATTTGCAAGCTGAGCTGAACCGCCTTCAAGCAGAAAATGATGCCTCTAAAGAAGAAGTAAAAGAAGTTTTACAGGCCTTAGAGGAACTTGCTGTAAATTATGACCAGAAATCTCAGGAAGTTGAAGATAAAACTAAAGAATTTGAATTGCTTAGTGATGAACTAAATCAGAAATCGGTACAATATATTTTGTTTCCTTTCTTACTATTTAACTACAAGTATTCTTAATTGAAAAATTACTTAAATTGCTTATATCTAAATAAACCCAAGAAAGATAGCATCAGTTCTCAACAGACTCAAGTCTCAACTCAATTCCTCCTCTGTATGAAGCCTTAGAGGTAGAGGAAGGGAATTAGCTTTTTAGTTCCTTAAAGTCTATTCATCTGTAATTTAAAAACTTTATAAATGATGCTTGTTATTCCTAATATTAAAAAAGAAAAATTAAAAGCTCCTAGTTACTCACTTAAGCTATTTAGATGATTGTTCAAACTACAAATTGAAAACTATATATGAAAGTAATAAAATTCTAGTTAATAAAGTTGATTATTTGGCATAGTCATAAAGATATATAACTTCATAAAGCATTTATTTCTTTTACTGTTATATTTCCAATACTTGGAACACTGCCTACGTAGTACAATATAGTAAGATCTTCTTTTTGGAATTTTTACTTATCATTGATATAGGGCGGGAATTGCCAACGCATCACTGTAGTAATGCCAAAAACTCGTATATAGCTATGGTTGCAATGCTGTACTTGTTTCAACATCACCAAGGATTCACATTTTCTTAAGGGCTTGTTGTTGATGGCTAACTTTATGCTAGATTTTGACTCATTATCGGTACCTCCCAATTATTTCTCGGTCCATGTTTACCTGTCTACAGAATAGGAGTCAACACTATGAAAAAACATTTTTAAAAGATTCCCTGCTCCTGCTCATTTTCCTTTTTTTATCTCCAGAGTCATAGTTTAGCTTAAAGTTACAATTTAATACCATGGATGTCAAGGCATCTTTATAACATTTGATTAGGAGTATCATTAGCAAACCGTATTATTATTTTGAAGAACAAAAGAATTGCTTACAACTGAGAAGATTGCATGGTCCTTGATCACTGACTTAAGTCTTTAAAACATACATATTTGTGTCTTAGTTGTGAAGCTGAAATCCATCAGCACTATATTAGCAATAGAAGTTGTAAACCCATAATGTTCAGCATATTTTTATATGCTTTACAATATTGCTGCTCAGTTGTGAGAAGAATGTTGGTAATTTAAACGCTTGTCGTGGAAGCCAGCTACCTTATGAGATTTGCAAGATAACCAGTGTATTGTAAATTAAACTGAGTGATGGACATGTACTTCATTGATATTCAGAAACTTAATGACCAGTCACCAGAAAGAACAAGATGCTGAGATGATAGCATCTTTATTAAATGATACTGACTGACAGTAAGTTGCATTAAAAATATAGTGTCTGATCTGAAATGGAATGAATAGTTTTAAAATGGCCAAGTTGAGTTGGATTTTTCACAATTTTTGTGACTTCTTTGTTGCTGGTAACCAGCTGTTATTTTAAATTTATAATTATAGTAATTAAAGTCAGGGAGTAATATTCATTACTGGCTCCTGGATAATTGTATCATAGTATCAAAAATAATAATTAGTATCATTTGGAGGATTCTTTTCAGTGAGTAAATATATAGAAAGTACATAAAGAAAACATACTAACATCTAGAAAACTGTCACTTCAGTCTAACCTTAAATTACTCAGACTCAGTGTGCAATGATAGCCATACTACAGCAGTAAATGAAAATTGCATCTAATTAATTTTTAAGGATTCCACTACAGTAAGTATTTAAATTGAGATTTTATTTCATAGATTTAACTCTACTTGTTTTTGGTTCTGTTAGGCAACTTTAGCAAGTATAGATGCTGAGCTTCAGAAACTCAAGGAAATGACCAACCACCAGAAAAAACGAGCAGCTGAGATGATGGCATCTTTACTAAAAGACCTTGCGGAGATAGGAATTGCTGTAGGCAATAATGATGTAAAGGTAAATATAATAACTAAATATTTACTTTATCTGTACACAACTCATACTTTTGTGTACTATTTTTCACAAAGTTCTTTTCATACCCATTGTATCATCCTTACACCAGCCATGTGTGGTAGATGGTATCAACTCTTATTTTAAATAGATGAAGAAAGAAGGAATAAGGGATGCCCAAGTAAACATGTTCAATAAATAACATTTATTAGCTTCCATGTCTGGTTCTTTTCCTCTGTTATCTAAAGATTTTATACTTAGAAATTATATTAATTATCATACATGAAAATGGGTGATTGTAACAGCAGTGAAGATGGGCTCAGAGAGTAAACTGATTGCTAATGAGTAAAGATAAAAGATGAATATTGCTAATTCTTATTAAAAATTTTTAGTTTGAATAATTTCAAACATGCAGTAGTAGAGAGAATAGTAAAATGAATCCTAAAGTTACCAGTTATAAAAATTTTTCTGATACTTTTCATCTGTGTTTCTTTTCTTTTCCAGTGATCTTTTTTTAAGGATACTAATGTTAGTATGTTAGTAACATGTTAACCATGTTAGTACTAGACACGTGGTAAAAAATTTTAGTGACCTGTGGATTGAGCAAATTAAATTAGATCAAAACAAACTAAGACTAATTGCAAAAACATGTACATAAAATGCATGTTTTGTGTTATGTTGGTTGTAGTGGTATTTGCTTGGGCTGGTTAGCAGTCAGAATGCCTTAGGCACTACGCTACCAGAGCTCCCGATTAAAGCCTAATTATAGTAACAGAGAGAGAGAGAAGAAACTTATACTTGGGTTTGTAGTTTGTAATGAAAACCTCCTAGGAAGTTGAGTTTAACAAGAGTTGAAAATGAAATAAAAGTTTTCAATATGGACCACACATTGTTTCTGTTGACTTTATTTTTTAAGGCTGCTGTTTGTCAATGGAGGCAAGGATTTTTATGATCTTTCTTGTCTTATCATTTCATTTCTTAATGTTTTCTCACCTAAGTGAAACAAAGGAAAGGGGTTACTATTAAATACTGGGTGAATCGACTTACTTTGTCATGTGTTACTGAACATTTGTAACTTCTTTTTTTTTAAAAAAAAATCTCATGCCCAAATAAAGTGGTCAAGATAGAAACAGGGTTGAAATACTTATCATTTTTTGTGGCAGAGCCAATGATACAGTGTAAGTCTTCTGACTCTTAGACTGCTTTTTTCACTCTACACAACATTTTGAAAACAAATCAGCCTTGCAGATAATGTGTTTAAAAAAAAATTCTGTGGGTGTCAGTATTTTCATCATTTCTACATAATTCTTTTTCTATTAACATCATCAGTAAGCACTGATTGAGTACTGCTTAATTCTTTTAGTTATTTTTTGACATTAGATTCATTTATTCTTTATGTTGCGAAAGTGTATAGCTTTTGAGGAAGGTATTGTGTCATGTATGACCATTAAAATATCAAACAGAATAATTTTCACTGCCCTGACAAATCCCCTGTGCTTTTCCTATTAATCCCACCTTTTATCCCTGACAACCAGTCATCTTTTTACTGCCTCTGTAGTTTCACATTTTCCAGAATGTTACATAGTTGGAATCAAACAGTATGAGTAGCCTTTTAAGACTGGCTTCTTTCACTTAGCAGTATGTGTTTAAGTTTCTTCCGTGTCCTTTCATGGTTTGATAGCTCATTTCTTTTTAACCCTGACTAATTCTCCACTGTATGGATATACCATAGTTTGTTTATACAGTCACCTAATTGGTACATGTTTGTTTGCTTCTAGTTTTTGGCAGTTGTGCATAAAACTGCTATAAACATTTGTTTTTGTATGGATGTATGTTTTGAACGCATTTGGGTAAATACCTGGGAGCACAATTGCTGGATCATATGGTTAAGACTATGTTTATCTTTGTAAGAAACTGCCAGACTCTTCTGCAAAGTGGCTGTACCATTTTGCATTCCAACCAGCAATGAATGAGAGTTCCTGTTGCTCCATATCCTTGGCCAACATTTTGGAGTTGTGCATTTTACATTTAGGTCTGTGATCCATTTTGAGTTAATTTTTGTGAAAGATTGTAAGGCCTATGTCTAATTTATTTACATGTGCATGTCCAGTTGTTCCAAAGACTTTTCCTTTCTCCATTGAATTGTCTTTGCTCCTTTGTCAAAGATCAGTTTATATGTTTATTTGGATCTATTTCTGGTTTCTCTTGTATTCCACTAACCTACTTATCAGTTCTTTCACTAGTACTACACTACTTTATAGTAAGTCTTTAAGTCAGGTAGTATCAGTTCTCTGACTTTGTTATTCTTCAATACAGTGTTGGCTATTCTGGATCGTTTGCCTTTCCATGTAAAACGTCACTAGAATTCTGTTAATGAAGCCCATGAAAGTTAAGGAGTACACAGTGACCTGAAAGCCAATCTCCCATGTGGTGCTTTGGGGCAACATAGACTGGATAGTGTCAAACTAATCCAATAATATCCTTTTTGAGAGGAAAAAGTAAATGCTAGGTAACAAAGAGACAGTTGTTGAGCTCATGGGAATCTGAAAACTCTAGAATATTGTTTTTATTCTCCCTGAGGCCTGTTGGCTTTCCAAGTGTGGAAGCAAAGAGTCCCAGAGTGGGACTTTCCTTGCAACCTCAAGCTCCTAGATATCCTTGCAATTAAATTCATTCACATATTTATATATACATACACACAGTGACCACAATTCCTCTTTGGTGAATTTAAATATCATTCTTTACTACAACTTACATATACTTTTAAGCTCTGTATTCTATATGCTTACTGAAAGTAGTAACAAAAGAAAAAAGCATTCCAGGCACCTTATGAGTATTGAATAATATTAAAATACACAGTTTTAAAATAAGATTTTAGAATCTAATTAGGAATGCACACACTGAACATGTTTGGCTTCAAGTTTTCATTTCACTTTTTTCTCACAGCAACCTGAAGGAACTGGAATGATAGATGAAGAGTTTACTGTTGCAAGACTCTACATTAGCAAAATGAAATCAGAAGTAAAAACAATGGTAAAACGCTGCAAACAGTTAGAAAGCACACAAACTGAGAGCAACAAAAAAATGGAAGAAAATGAAAAGGAATTAGCAGCATGCCAGCTTCGTATCTCTCAAGTATGTGTTACAGAACAAAGTTTCTTTACTTATTGAACAGTACATATAAACTTATTACAAGACTTTTCCAAAAATGAACTTCTGTAGGCTATTTTGGGTTAATTGAGTGGGTTTTCATAGCTTAGCTATAGTATAATAGAACATGAATGATTAATTGGGTTATATATGTTAACATATTTATCTTAAGTATAGAAATTTTACTAATAAGATGTCCCTTATGTGACTAGTGAAGAATTCCAGGGTGGACAAAACTGAAGGGAACCCGTTTTCTGGCTTTGGCAACTGAATAGATAGGGCTATTCCCCAAGATAGGAATTGTGGAATACGAGAGTTAACTGGAGATAACTGTAATAATAATTCATGTTTTGGCCTTCAGTGCCTTAGTTTGCGAGCTGTACAGATGACCTATTTATTGATTAAACCCTTTTAACATAATCTGACCTTGAACGCTTCAGGTTTAAATTTCTTTAAACTTAATAAATTGGTTTTAAAAAAATTGCTTACTTTCACATGATCTTTAACAATAGAATATGTGCATGAAATACTTTTTCCACTTCATAACAGTGTATTTTTTTCCAAAAGCATGAAGCCAAAATCAAATCCTTGACTGAATACCTTCAAAATGTGGAGCAAAAGAAAAGACAGCTGGAGGAATCTGTTGATTCCCTGAGTGAAGAACTAGTCCAGCTTCGAGCACAAGGTTAGCCCAATTATCCATGAGTTGTCTCTATATTAATTCTTTCTTTAATTATGATAAGCTCATATTGACAATGTTAGAGAATGTTGAGAATATGGATAATTGGAAATAGTAAATCATACATTTTAATGTGGCTTTGAAACGTACTTTGGAAATAGTATCTGAATATAGAAATGATCAGCCTGGGGATCTCACACATTTATGAAGTTGTGTGTGTGGCCATAGAAGATTTAGAAAATTACTTCATTTTCTTACCATGCCATTAATAACCCATGCTATTCTGGGACTGGGTGAAGTAAATAGAAGAATCTGTAATAGTAACACAAAGGATATACCTAGATACACTAGTCAACATGTCATTGAACTTGGGAAAACTTAACTAGTAGATGGCTAATTGAAAGCCAAGTACTAATTAGGAACATACCCCTCATAAAATGCAATCATTCCTAGGCTTATATGAGTAACTTTCAGGCTTATTTTTTGTCTTTTCTCTCCCTGCTTAAACAGAGAAAGTCCATGAAATGGAGAAGGAGCACTTAAATAAGGTTCAGACTGCAAATGAAGTGAAGGCAAGTGTGATTTACATTGCAATTCTAATGGCTTTAATTCATCATTATTTATTTTGACTGGTCTGATTTAAATTAACACCCTTTCCCCTAATAATTTTAGCAAGCTGTTGAACAGCAGATCCAAAGCCACAGAGAAACTCATCAAAAACAAATTAGTAGTCTGAGAGATGAGGTTGAGGCAAAAGAAAAACTTATTACTGATCTTCAAGAGTAAGTGTTACGCTTTTGTTTCCTCTTGCTCTTAAGCTGAGAATATTTAGAAACTAATTGGCAGATGTGGGATAATTAGATAAGAAGGAATAATGCATTGTTGATGGGCAGTATGTCCTTACTAGAAATCCACATTTTTCATTGAAATTGAAATTTTCAACTTAGAAAATACAGAGTTATTTGACTTAGGAATATAACTTCTAAGTTCCAAGTGAAAATTTGGTATTTTCTTAGCTCTTTTGCTCTTAACTGCAAAGAAGGAAAAAATCCCCCAACTTAAATTCATTATTGCAAGTTGACATCAGTCTCCAAATCATTTCTTCAAATTCCTTTTTTAAGAAATCTTTAACTTAGAAAAACTTTATTGGTAACTGTGAATTTAAAGTTTTGAGGGTTTGTTTGTTTTTGTTTTTTAAATAAAAGTTGTCATCTTCATTAGGTGACGTTTACCCTACTTCCATAACTATAAGTACATAGAGTAGAATTTATAAAGATTACAGGTTTGCAACTAAATCATGATCTGAGTAGGAACCAGAAAAGAGTAGCAAAACAAAATGATGATGAGTTTTGGGTCATGGGTCTTAGTATTAATACCTAATGGAATTAGAGATGAGAATTCAGGGACATGAAAGGCATGGAAGAATAAAATCATGGTTTCAAAGTGAAATATGAAAAAGTACTGCATGGCTATCAATAGCTAAGTCCCTATCTCTTCACCCTCTAGTCTCTTGGAGGGTAGGATAATAGAGGCGGCCTTGGGAATATGAAAGGTGAAATTATAAAAGTTAAGAGTTTGAAGATTTGTGATTGAAATATTGCTGATGGCTTATTGTCTTAAAAGTCTCCTTTTGGTTTGTTTAATAACATTGCTATATATAGTTCATAGTGAATTCTCAATTCAGAAAACTGTGATGTTGATGTTGTGGGGGGTTCTCCACCCCACCCCCACCTCCTTCCCCCACTTATCAGCCAAAACCAGAAAATGATACTAGAACAGGAACGTCTGAGAGTGGAGCATGAGAAATTGAAAGCTACAGATCAGGAAAAGAGCAGAAAACTACATGAACTTACGTGAGTAAATGTTTTATTTTTAGTTTAAAAATAAAAACTACTTGGATGATTACAAGCATTGCTCTTAGATATATCTCAAGAATACATTTTTTTACTTTCTATTAGTTCAAGTGGTTTGACTTATACGTAAAAACTTCCAATATGTTCTTGAACTTTAATGAAACCATTATTTCAGTAATGGTCAAGATTCAGATTCCATTTTATCAGCCTGCTTGCTGTTTCTGTGCTACCTTCCATGTTGACTTCAGGGTCCATCATAAAAATGAATTTAAAACATTGCATTAAGTACTTTAGAAGATTTCTGTATCTACCACAGAAAGAGAATTTTTATAAGACTTGATTTTGCATAAAGAAAATGATTGCTTTAGCCTTATCTTTGAACACATTTTCACCGATTTTTTTAAATTTACTAATAGTCCTGTACTCAGTTTTTGGGAATCTGAGCAAAAAGAAAACTTATGATTATAATTGTTTACATACCTTAAATTTGCAAGAGATAATAGGTAAATAAATTTTTAGGGATGGGCACACTATCAGGACCAGTTCAGAGTTAATTCTATAAAGTTTTGTTGGCATTGTCAGCCATAATTTTGTTTAGAATACTTTAAATGTAAATTATGTGAAATGCTTTAGTATTTTTAAAGTTTATGATCTCTGTAATTCCGAGCTAATCTGAACCATTTTGGACAAATAGTGGTATGTTGTATGAGACATATTCTGAAAAATAAAGAAGAATTCCTTAATGCTTTGAATTCTGCTATATTTTGTTTTGCTTATTCTGTGGTCATGTGAGGAGGTATATTTATTTTAAATAAGCAATACATTTAAAAGAAGATGATGAGGCTTATAAAAAAATTTTGCAGGGTATAATACAGGTCCACTTTTTAAAGTATTTCTCGTTTATTTGAATTTAAGAGCTGATCTTTTCAAATAAAAGGGATTTGATTCAAGTCTTCTATATAAAACTAGAATTTTATGAATCAAAGTTGAAAATACATATATTCTTTTACTGTTTAGAGTTATGCAAGATAGACGAGAACAAGCAAGACAAGACTTGAAGGGTTTGGAAGAGACAGTGGTAAGAAAAGCTTAAAAATAAATAGGATTGGGAGTATCCTATTGTTTTATTCCCCCATCTTATCATAAATTTGAAGGCTGAGTCTCCAAAATATTACTATTTTTAATTCAAGGCAAAAGAACTTCAGACTTTGCATAACCTGCGGAAGCTTTTTGTTCAGGACCTGGCCACCAGAGTTAAAAAGGTAATAGAACAATATTGACATAGATACTTGTATAAATCACACTTACTGTGTTTAATTCCTTTTTTATATAAATAAAGTAATTTTAAGCTGTCATAAATTTTTTTATGTCGTTAGTAACTTTTGTGATCTTTAAATTTTTCATAATCTTTCATCTGTATTCTTTTCCCAGAGTGCTGAGATTGATTCTGATGACACTGGCGGCAGTGCTGCACAAAAGCAAAAGATCTCCTTCCTTGAAAATAATCTTGAGCAACTCACTAAAGTGCATAAGCAGGTAATAAAGAGTATGTTAGGTGGTAGCAAAATTTGTTGGTGGCCAGTATTTCAATCTTTCAGAGGCTTAAAGAATTTTCATTATTTTATATTTATAAAGCAGGTATATAAAGAACCTCTAGCAACTCTTAGGGGATAATATTTAATAAACATATCATCAAAAGAGGCTAATGAAAACATGTTATCTTATTTCTTCTGTAAGATTTTTAGTCTGTCAGTTTTTAAAATTCATTCATAGTAATTTTGGAATTTCTGGTAGACAAGTCTTTAAAATAAAACCTTTTATTAGATTGTTTATATTTAATGTCCCAAGTATAAAATATATAAACTAAAAAAAAAGAAAAATTCACTGCCATCGAGTTGATTCCAACTCATAGTGACCCCTCCCTGGGTTTCCGAGGTGGTAGCTCTACAGAAGTAGATTGCCGAGTCTTCCTTCCAAGGAGTGGCTGATGGGTTTGAACCACCAGCCTTCTGGTTAGCAGATGTCTTAAGCACTACGCCACCAGAGCTCCCGTGAAATATATAATGAGGCAATTTATGGTTTTTTTTTTTTTTAAAGTAACATTGGTTTTGCATACTTTTTGTTGTGATAAGTGATTAAGATTTCTAACAAAAAAGTAACACTCAATAGCTTATCTCTTTGTTATTGTAAAGCTGATGTTTATACAAGAGTAAGATTAAAGAAATTTTCATTTTTCTTGCCTTCAACACTTACTAAATTAGTTTGCTAAGTTTGTGCTTACTTTCATTTCCACCAGATTAATATCTTACTGAAGTGAGCTAGCACTAGTGTTGTATGTTAAAGTATTTGCATAGTGGGAGGAAAGGATAAGCTCCTCTCCCCTAAATTAAATTATATGTGTGAAAGAAATGTGTGTGTGTGTATGAGAGAGAGAGAGATTCCTTATATATTTCTGCCTAAATTAAATTAGCTAAATGAGAAATAAGCCTTACTATAAAATGTAGTTTTATTTGCCCTCTAAAAAGAAATTGTGAAATGTTCATACTTTCTCGGTTCATCTTGTTAAAGCTAGATAAATTTTCTTTACCTGCTTTTAGTTGGTACGTGATAATGCAGATCTTCGCTGTGAACTTCCAAAGTTGGAAAAGCGACTTAGAGCTACAGCTGAGAGAGTGAAAGCTTTAGAGTCAGCACTGAAAGAAGCCAAAGAAAATGCATCTCGTGATCGCAAACGCTATCAGCAAGAAGTAGATCGTATAAAGGAAGCAGTCAGGTCAAAGAATATGGCCAGAAGAGGACATTCTGCACAAATTGGTTAGTAGGACATATTAATATCTTGAAACCTTGCTTGGTTTGAATGTTTTTATGTAGTCAGAAACATAATCTGATTCATTCATACATGTTGGCATGGAGATATTTGTCTTTTTTTCTAATTTATCAAAGACTGGCATTGTTCGAAAGAGTAGAAAATTGAAGCATGACCACATTTATAGGATAGGAGGATAAATACCTAGCAAAACAAGAATGATCAGGGATAGGGGAAATTATAGAGAGCAATGTTAAGAGAGAATTAAAGGGAGAATTGTGAGAAACATGTCATCTGCAGTATTTCATGCTTCACACGAATTACTGGCATAGGGACAAGATATAGTAGAGGCTGAAGAGCTCAGCTGGTGCAAACTATTTGCTATTGGCTGTTAACCTAAAGGTTAGAGGTTTGAATCCACCTGATGGCTCCACAGCAAAAAGGCCTGATGATCTGCTTCTAGAAAGATCATAGCCAAGAAAATCCTGTGGAGCAGTTCTGCTCTGTAACACATGGGGTCTCCATGAGTTGGGCTGACTCTGGCAGCTAACAAGGATTATATAGGTTCCTGGAAAAAAGAATGTAATCAATATAAAGAAAAAGAGGAATTCACTGAGAAACAAAAAGGCAAAGAAAAACACATTTGAAAGTTTGTTATGAGTAATAAAGAGACCTAGGCAGTTATTGTTGTCATATGTTAAGTTTTATTCTAAAGTTAGTCTTTGTTTTTCATATTAGCTAAACCTATTCGACCTGGGCAGCATCCAGCAGCTTCTCCAACTCATCCAAGTGCAATTCGTGGAGGAGGTGCGTATATACAGAACAGCCAGCCAGTGGCAGTACGTGGTGGAGGAGGCAAGCAAGTGTAAGCTTTTACACACGTCCACAGGTTTGTGGTTTGTATCTGGCTTTTGAATCATAATTCCATGTGGAAACTTTCAGCCACAGGTTGTTAAACAATTTTTTAAATTCTCCATTAATGTCATGATTTTTTTTGAATGTGTATGATTGTAAAAAGCAAGTTGGCAAGGTTTCTTTGAGTCTTTTTTCATAGTTCAGATCATACTTTATATTCAGTTCTGTTTCCTTACTGTTTTTAAACTAACATATTGGATTATTATTAATAGCTCTTGGCATTCTGTCTAATGAATCTACCATAGTTAACCATACATTTAATTACGTTAATTTTTTTCCATATTAGAAATTTTCTAAAATTGAAATTTCCAGATATGAAATTTGAAGTACAAAACATCACTTTATACTCCTTCACCTCCTAGATGACTTCAAGAAGATTCTCACAAGTGGAATTACAAGAGCTATGGATATTTTTCAGATTCTTAATACATAATACCATATTGCTTTCCAGAAAGACTGCACCAAATTGCATATTAGCCAAGGATACTAGCCATTGTTGCATCCTTGCTAGCTAGTATTGAGGATTAATAGTTTTAAATTTTCTAATTAAATAAATAATTATAAAATGGCATCTAATTGATTTATTTAATGGAGTTGGGTATTTTTTGTATTGTTATTGGGCCATTTTTTTTTAGCGCATTAGCTTTGTCCATTTTCTATTCATCTATATTCATTCATTCATTTTTAGTTATGTAAGTACTATCCATTGGATAAATGTCAAACTGGAAGGTAAATACCATCCAGTGATACCACCTAATAGTGTGTTAAAGTTTGCTTTACATATTATAAGAGCTCTGGAGACACAGTGCCTAAGGCATTTGACTGCTAGCCAGAAGCTTGGCAGTCAAACCTACTAGCCACTCTGCGGAAGGAAAGATGAGGCAGTCTTCTTTCTGTGAAGAATTACTGCCTTGGAAACCCAGTGAAGGATTGTTGTGAGTCAGAATCAACTCGTTGGCAGTAGGTTTTGGGTTACATATTATATAATTTTTTAAGTTAAAAGGTTTAAATTATTTAAACTATGGTACATACACACAATGGAATTCTGTGCAACTATATAGAATAATGATGAATTCTCAGAATATACTATAATAACATAGTTGAATCTGGAGGAAATGATGCTGAGTAAAGTAAGTCAATTATAAAAGGACAAATTATACTGTATGGTCTCACTATTAGAAAAAAAACAAGAATAGATATGCATACAAAAAGCAATGTTCTTTGGTGGTTACCAGGGATGGGGAATCACTTTCTAGATAATAAACACTTGTTATTTTTGATATGGGTAAGGGAATACCAAATAAGGGTGAAGTCAGCATAACTTGACCAAGGTAAAAGATGATACTAAGAAATACATAAGAGTAAGGCATTTTTTTTTTGAGTGCCTTCTGGTGGTTCTTGGTTTTTTTTATTATTATTATTATTATTATTAATTATGATTTAGGTGAAAGTTTACAGAGCAAATTCACTTTTCATACAGCAGCTCACTTACACTTTAAAGTCCCATGACATTGGCTGCAATTTCCCACCATGCAACAGCTCCTATAAGGGATGATTTTGCTAAAAGCCACAATGTACACAATTTTGCAACAACAGTAATGACAACCAAAAATATATATGTAGTTACAAAGGTGGATATGTGTGCTTATATACATATATAGGTAAGCACATATAACTATACATGTGTGCGTGTATAGGTGTTTTCATGGGCAAATGTACATACAAGTTTCTGTGTACCACCTCTATATTCATATATAAAATAAAGTACATAGGGGCACAGTTATGGATACTCTCTAGACAATTAAACACCTTGTGGTATTGGGTTACTACGTTTAAGGGCTTCTTGTTGTTGTTTGCCATCGAGTCGGCCCCAACTCATAGCGACCCCTCCTTGGGTTTCCGAGGCAATATCAGTACGAAAGTAGGATTGCCCAACCTTCCTTCTGAGGAGTGGCTGGTGGGTTTGAACCGCCAACCTTCTGGTGAGCAGTCAAGTGCCTTAGGCACTATGCTACCAGAGCTCCTAGGTTTAAGGGGTTAGGACCTGCAAAAACGGCAAGGAGACCGCATGTTTTGACCTCCTCTAATCCCACAAAAGAGGAAGACAGAATTACCATCAATAGCCTATTCCCCTGAGGCCCAACATGCTGCCTCCCTCCAGCCCTTTCTCCAACCGTTCCTCCCAAAGCAGCCACCACCTCTCTCCTGGGTTCGCTAATTCGCTGCAGTGGCCACACAGAGCTCACAGATTATGGGGTTTATTAGGGAAGCACCACAGGGTACAAATCGAGTTCAGGAAAAATGTTCAGCCTCTCTCCCAGCCCACCGTCCCTCAGGCAGTAGTCTCTCACAGTCTTTTTCCCAGCAGTGCTGGTCCCTCGGTGTCTCTTGCGTCTCATTCCCAGCAGCACGTCTTCCTCAACTAGCAGTCAGAGTTCTGCCTCTAGGAGGCCTCCTTTTGAGCTTGGCAGGGTGGCTAAACCAACCAATCATAACAACAGAATTCTAAGCACCTGAGAGTGAGCCTCCCATAACATTGCATTGTGCCATGCCCAACAGAAATAACACAGGTGGATAACATTTACAACCAGGAGCTCGTCAGTTGCTCATTCCACTACTGAATTTACAATGACTTATGGGTAGAAAAGCCATACTAAGTAATTAACTACACACTGTAGGACCATAGTCTTGGGGGCAACTTGAACAATTGGCTTTACTTGGGTGGTAAGGATAATGTTCTATGACCAATCATGGGAGAGCAAAAGGGCAGTATTTGCATAGGGTGATAGCTCAGGGGGCAGGAATGCCTAGGAAAGGATACAGGGAAGAGGTAATTATAGGGAGGAAGTAGGAAGAGAGCTGTTACATTATGGGGAATTGCAGTCAGTGTCATGAAATAAAATGTGTGTGAACTGTATGCAAAATGAATTTGCTTTGTAAACTTTCACATCCTAGTTTGCTGAGTAGCATCTGAGGTCTTAAAACCTTCCAAGTAGCCATCTAAGATCCAGAGACTCAAAGAAACTAGTCTATAGGACTAATAGTCTACATGAACCATACAGTCTTACCTACCTTGAGACCAGGACTAAATGGTTCCCTGCTACCACCACCAACCTGTCTGACCAGGTACACAATAGATGGTCCTGGGTAGAATGAGAAAAAAATGTAGAACAAAACTCAAATACCTAAAAAGGGCCAGACTTATTAGACCACTAGAGACTAGAGGAAAACCTGTGAGACTGTTGCTTTAAGCTTGGAACTCAAACCATTCCTGGAGGTCACCTATCAGCCAAAAGAGAATGATTCATAAAATAAATAATATCACCTGTGAGTACTGGTCTTCTAAATGAGACCCTGCACCAAAGATGAGAAGATAAAGCAGAACGAGGAAGCTAAATTAATGGAAACAGAACAGCCAGAGTGGAAATAATGAGAATGCTAGCACATTGTGAAAAGTGTAACCAATGTCATTAAGTAATATATGTAAAAATTATTAAATAAGAACCAAATTTGCTATGCAAATTGTCTCCAAAATCACAGTGTAATAAAACAAACTAAAGAACACCACCACCATGAAATGCTTCTCTGAGTTTACAAGTAAGCCTTTGAAAATGTTGAACAAAGTATATAAAGAAGGAAATTCAGGAAAGTAAATACTAATTGGACATCATTTAAAAAAAAAAAAGTTTAAACTGATAAATATTCTAGTATTGTATAATACGTGTAGCTTCCTTTTTAAAACTTAATATATTCTGAACATTTTCTTCTGCAACATGGTTAGTTAATAGCTGCCTCATATTTTATAGCAGAAACTCAGATTTTAAATTCTAGGATGTGTTGGTGCTTTGGAAACTAAAAAGCACCAAATAATCAACAATTGCTCTTAGTTTGAGTAGATATTAAACTATTTTTGAGGATTCACATTTTTGTTTACTTCCTTTTTTTTTTTTTTCTCTCTCTTTTATGCCTGTCTTTTGTTTGGCTGGAAGCCATAGGTGTGGGTTCAATTCCAGACCTGAAGGGCAGCTAGGGGCCATAGTCTCAGTGGTTCCACCAGGCTCTATCAGACCAGCAAACCTTGTCCCCTCCTTTTTTTTTCCAAATGATTTTGAGTTTTGTTCCACATTGTTCTCCCTCTCTATCCAGGATCTCCTACATAAATCACACTCCAAGTAGTTGACAGTGGTAGCCAGGCACCATCTAGTTGTTCTGGTCTCATAGTCGTATAAGCTGTGGATCACATGGTGTACCAGTCACTGGGACTAATTGTTTCCATGAATCTTTGGTTTTGTTCATTCTTCTTTGCTCTGGATGAGGAGAGACCCATCGTTGTATCTAGATGGCTGCTTGCGAGCTTTTAAGATCCCGGCTGCTACTCGTCAACGTAGGAGGTGGAAGAATGTTTTGTGTAGTATGTTATGCCAATTGAGCTTGATGTCCCCTGCGACTATGGTCCTGAGCCCACAGATTCAACTACTCGGTCCCTCTGGGTAGCTGGCTGTGACCAAGAGAGGATTCACATTTCCAGCAATTTGATTATTGTGACATAATATGGAATTTAAAGAGTATGAACTTTGGAGTCCATCTAAGTTTTAATCTTTCTACTTTTCTGAACTTGAGCATTTATTTATTTATTTATTTATATTTTAATCAATTCATGCTTTCTATTTTGACTCATTTAAAATCCGTTATTAAACTAAATTAATGCATTCATGACTTAAACATTTAATGTATAGATAAAACAACATTTTCTACATAGCACAGTAACATCACACCTAACAAAATTAATCAAAACCTAACCAGTTAACGTCAAGTTGATTCCAACCCCTGGTGACAATGGCTGTTTTGTTAGAAGTAGATCACCAGGTCTTCTGAGGGGCCTCTGGGTGGACTCTTAACTTCCAACCTTTTGGTTAGTAGCTAAATACTTAACTGTTTGCTCCACTGGTATTTTTAAAATGAAATGTCCTTTACAACTTGTTTTTCTAAACGAGAATACAATCCAGGACTTTTTACATTTGGTTTTAATCCCATAAATTTCTTTTAATCTAATGTCGCCTCTCTTTTTAATGACTTCAATTGATTGAAAAGAGTAGTCCAGTTATTTAGAACATATGGCACCTTTACATGTGTTTGATTGCTTCTATATGTTGCCATGTTCCTCTATCCTCACTATTCCCTGTACATTGGAAAGTAGAAAAGCATTGATTAGCGTCTTTGATTACCTAGTGGTGGTGTTACAAATACCACAAGTGGGTTGCTATAAAGAGCAGAAATACATTTTCACATAATCCTGGAGACTAAAATTCTGAATATGATTTTTGATTGTATTATCCTTTCTGTGGGCACTTCTTCTATTTCGGGTAGCTGCTGGCAATCAATCCTTGGTGTTTCTTTGCCTGTAGAAAATCCTCACATGGCATCTTTCTTCCCTGTGGTTTGTCTCTTGTCTAAACTACTCTTTCTGTAAGACACCACTTAGAGGTGATTGGGTTCATACCCACTCTACTCTGGTGTGGTCTTATTAACATAACAAAAGAAAATGTCTAATTCCAGTCAGGCTCATATTTTCAGGTACAGGAGCTAGGAATTCAACACATATTTGGTGGGGACACATTCATTCCCTAATAATTAGATTTGGAGTAAACATTTTTTGAGAAGAGTATATCATAGGTTATATATGCTTAATGTGGTGTCACATCAGTTGACATAAAATAGCTGGTTTTCCTGCCAAATAAAGATGCTTCTGTATTTTCCATGTTTGAACAGTAACTTTTTTCAACCTCCTTTTAATAGTAAGTAGTTCTTGAGATTTAAGGTGTTAACCTAGCAGAGTGGGTATTCTACAGATCCAAGCTGCTTTTCCCTAGCTTTTTAGGAAGTGGGTAGCTGAGCAGATTTATTTTTTCCATCCAAAGAATGAGAGTGTGTATGAAGTTCATTTGGATATTGTTACTACATTAAAATTATACGCAGACTTTGAACTCACCTCATTTGCTGAAAGAATAGACCATAATCTTTGTTAAATATAATTTTAGTTTTAGCCAGAAAGTATAACTCTGATCCCAGTGTAATGACAGCATTTTAGCACATGAGGGAGATCACTAACCTAGCTCAACTGAGTTTTCAATATCTGAAACAATTACAAAAGTAAAATTGGTTGCAGGTTTATTTTATTGCTCATCCAAAGGATTGTGTTATACTTTTTAAACTCTTACATTAGTCTTAAACCATCTTTCCTCTTTTAAAACAAATACTTCATCATGCATAGCTGTATTGGGGAGAATAAAAGCAAGTGAAAGGCTGATCTCTTTTTAAACATTGTACAGCTGATAAATAGTTCTTCTACTTAAGAGTTACTAAAAGGAAAAAAAAGTCATTTTATGTTATCTTTTAAATGTTGGGGAAAGTGATTGAAGCTGTTAAGTAAAATATTTTTAAACTGTTGGGGCGATTTAATTATTTATTTTTGTAACTTACCTCATTCTTCATGATTATCACAAATAAACATGAGTTTTGTATAAATAAAAAGATCTCTATGCTTTCTTCCATTTTCAGGTGTTGAAAAGTAAGTGAAGTAAGAAGAGGACATATCAAGCAGAGTCATTTAATGACTTTATAACCTCTACCCTCTGGGGACTGTAGTTACAACTTTTTTTTTTAATGTATAAATTATACCTGGCTTGTACAGCTGTTTCCTACCCACTCTTGTAAACTCTGCTGCTTCCCAACACAACTAGAGTGCAATTTTGGCGTCTTAGGAGGGAAAAATAATGACAGTTTACGACTGTGGCCCTATTTATTACACAGTTTGTCTTTCATGTCTTAAATTTAGTCTTCACTGTGCCAAGCTGACTGTACCTTATAGGATTGGGTTTTGTTTTGTTTTGTGTGTGTGTGTTTATTTTTAAATCTCAGTTTAAATCTCCTAGCTGCTACCACTCATTGTTTTTCTTTTCTTATTAAAATATCTTCCTTATTTTAGGGAAAATAGAACATTTAGATTAAATGTCTTAAATTTTACCACTTACAACACTACATGCCCACAAAATATTATCAGATCAGTACTGTATTTTAAAATTCCTGGAAGTTACTTCAGGGTTAAAATAATTTGTATCATCTCTAAAGTTTGTTTCTGAAAACTACTGTTTGAGCACTGAAAATTTAAAACTGCCTAACTAGGCATTTGAGACTGAACAAGGCTACTTAATTGTTATCTCATGAAATGCCTGTTGCTGAGTTGATTTTAAATAGAAATGTCTTAAAATATCAAAAGCAAATCTAAGTTTAAGAAAGAGAGTTTGAAGAATTGTATTTCTCTTCATCCTGATTCCATACTTACATAGCTTGATAGAATGAAAATACTCTGCTTCATTCTGGTGAGCCTTCTAGCTACTGTAAAAACTGAACAGATATTCCTTTGTCATCTTTAATATATAAAGTGAACTAACCTATTACAGAATTACATAATTTTACGTTAGCACTATTTTAGTTGATCTAAATTTTTAGCCTATGGAAATTGTGAAAAAATGTAAAGAAACACAACAAATACATAGTGAATTTAAAAGTACATAGGTCTATTTTGTTCTGAACTCACTGGTGTGCTTTTTAACTGCTACACTAAGCATACACTATAATTTATTTCTTATTTAGGCTAGATAATGGTGAACTGTTTGCAGGTCACTAATCCTTATTAAATATTTTATTGGCTAAAACCCAAAATTTTATAATTAGTACTAAGTGTGTACTTTTGCCACTTCTTCCTAAGTGATTAAGTCAGCGGTTTATTTTAGGAAGTTATAAAAGTAATAGAGAAGAGAGATTTCAATATTTGCTTCATCATCAATGGGTTGAGGAGAACTATTTTAGCAGGAGAAAGTGGGATTTAAGATTATTCAGTCAGTAAAGAAACTTGGAAAGGTCTGTGTTAGGATCTAGCTGACAGGATTAACATTTTGAAAAAGTTTTATACACAGATATTTGTAGTATTAAATTTGGGGCCATAATCGGAAGATTCAGATTATAATTGGCTTATTTTTCTATTTACTTAACTGTTGTAATTTCCACTTTTATAATAATTTTGATTTAAAAGATAAACTTATTTTTTTAACAGTCAAAAATCTTTGCTGTTATCTTCTGAAACCTTTGAAATGATTGTGTGGCTTTTAGGACTGATCAAAAGAAACACTCCAAAAATTGAGATGAAACCTTGGTGCAGCAAGATAGAAGTAATGCAATTAACTAAAAAAAAATTGCTACAGCCTACTTAGGATCATTTTCTAAACGGAGAAATATTTGGCTGCATTCACATAGACATTTGTATTTTGCTTTCAAAGAAAACTTGCTTCTTTGATATTCATAAATGAAGCAGAATTTATTTTCTCTTTTGTGTACATAATGGTAGTTTCTTCATTCTTCTACATAATTTTTCATGAGTATTGGTGCTGTGTAAAAACAATAAATTGTAACTAGCATGTGGTTCAGAATACACATTAGGTTTTTTTTTTTTTTAATGGTTATTTTCTATTTATAATTTCTAACCCTTTACAAAGTATAGCAAGAATTTCATAAATTTGTTTTCATCATGGCACTGTGCTTTCTATTTGTGATGGTAGGTCATTTACTCTTAGAAATGGAAATTCTCGTCATATAGAAGAACATCAATAACTTCAACTTGCAGTATCTTTTTTTTTTCTTTTTTGTTTTTTTACTGGATATATTTACGTTCCTCTGAAATGGTATTGATAATGATTCAGAAGAGAAACAATGAAATAAAAGAGTAATATTTATTCATGGTGATCAATTAAATTATTTGCCTAACTTAATAATACTAACTACTGTGCATAACTCTCAATTTGACATGAGATGACAGAGAAGAGTCTCAGTCTGCCTGTGGAATATTCTGGTTTATTTTCAGTGCTTGAAGATACATTAAAAATAATTGGTTTGGGGAAGACGCCATATAATTTTAACTTGCATGCTGTAAATGTGTTTTATGTTTAAATAAAGAAGCAAATTTTTTTGAAATGTTAAGACTTTTCTTAAAACTTACTTAAGTTATTTAACTAATTAGGTTGATTTTGTATTAAGCCACAATGTGGCTTTCTGTCTTGAGAGAACAGTAACAATTGTAAATTATTATTCTTACATACTTTGTTTCCTAATGTACTATAGGGATGGGAGCTCTGGTAGCATAGTGCCTAAGGCACTTGACTGCTAACCAGAAGGCTGGCGGTTCAAACCCACCAGCCACTCCTCGGAAGGAAGATGGGGCAATCTACTTCCATAGTGATACTGCCTTGGAAACCCAAGGAGCGGTCGCTATGAGTCAGGTCCGACTTGATGGCACATAACAACAACAATGTACTATAGACTCTTCGCACCTATTAAATATATGGGATGAAGAACTAAGGTAGAAATTAATTATGTATCTCACCTCCATTATTTTACTTCAGTATAAGAATACATGTTCAGATTTCTTTTTCAAATATTTGCTCAATATTCACGTTTAGCTAGTGATTAGCTAAAGAGAGACAATTCAAATGGTGATTGACTTTTGTTTTTAGTTTTTATCTTCTAAAATTATTACGAAACATTCTAACAATACATAAAAGTGGACAAAATAATGAAATCCTAAGTATTTATCACTTAGTTTGATCACATGTCAGTGTTTAGGTAATTTTGTTTATTTTGAAGCAGTCCCAGATTTCATACGCTGTGCTTTAAGATACAGTAAGCAAGCAAAAACAGCTACCATGGAGCCTGTTACGACTCATGGTGCCCTAATGTGTACAGAGTGGAACTGCCTCTAGGGTTTTTCAGAAGTAGACTGCCAGGCCTTTTTCCAAGGCTGCCTCTCAGTTTGAACGCCAACCTTTTGGTTAATAATTGAGTACTTAAACATTTGTGCCACCCAGCAACTCTTTTTAAGATGTCCAGATCCCACTGTGGTTGAGTCAGTTCTGACTCACAGTGATTCCATGTGTTGTAATGTAGAACTGTTCCATAGGATTTTCAACGGCTATCACCTTTTGGAAGCAGATTTCCAGGCCTTCATAGGTGCCTCTAGGTGGGTTCAAACCACCAACCTTTCGATTAGTTGAGCACTTAATCATTTATGCCACTCAGGGACAGATTACCTCATAGGTGATGGTATTCTATCAGCTCACATACTGTCTGGTTGTCTCATTGATTGTTGTTGGCAGCTATTGATGGTCCATCAGTTTTTTAGGGGTTAGAGAATGGGGATATTCTGTCATTTTATTACCTGCAGTACTCTGTATAAAGAAATGTGTCTTCAGTTGCTTGGTTACCCAGTGGGTACTGTTTGTATAGGAAAACAAAGATAAGTACTTGATTATTCGCAAGTTTCAAAACAATGAGCTGGTTTTTTGGTCAACTGAACTGGTAGAGGATCAGTACTTCCTAGATTCCAGTAGACTTATCTTACTGGGGAAAATGAGAAAAAAAAAGTGGGAAGAACTAAAACCCCTGGTACTGCAGTAGGTCTCAGGGCATATAACAAAACAACCAATTAGGGTGTGTGTGTGTGTGTGTGTGTGTGTGTTTGCATTTCTCTGCGTTTTTGTCTTTTAAGTGCTCTCTGAGCCTTCAAGTCACTTTATTCCTTTCCTGGAGAAATTTAAATGGAAATAGATTTTTCCCAAACTAAAAAGGAAGGGGGGGGGCAGGAATCAAGAAACCAGTGAAGATTTATACAGTTGAAAGTATCAAAAGAGGATGTTGTTGTTGTTATTGTTGTTATGTGCCGTCGAGTCGGCCCCAACTCATAGCGACCCCTCCTTGGGTTTCCGAGGCAGTATCACTACGGAAGTAGGATTGCCCAACCTTCCTTCCGAGGAGTGGCTGGTGGGTTTGAACCGCCAGCCGTCTGGTTAGCAGGCAAGTGACTTAGCCACTATGCTACCAGAGCTCCCTCAGAAGAGGATAGGGAATGGATATATTAATACATTATCATAGCTGTTAAATAAGCCCATTTCTTTCCAACCAGCTGACTTATGCAACTGAGAACTCTTCTAGGGATCCTGTCACTTTTGAAGAAATGAACTATGAATAGTCCAGGTCATTAGATTAATTAGAATTTGTGTATTGTCTACTTCTAGATCTAGTTGATGGCAGCCAAAAAATTTGACATCTGTGGGCAAAGGCCAGGGAGTAATCTTTCACTTCATGAGGTAAATAGACTTTTCATATTCAAATATAATTGACTAGTGGAAAGAAACTTAGATGAAGAAATGGTCCCTGGCGGCATGTCTAGGTTATTTTTAGAAACTTACAGAAATTTAAAAGTAATAAATCCAAAGAATTGTAAAGAACTAAATCCCACATTTCTCCAACACTCAGTTGCTCTCAAGTTTGTGGCATATTTGCTTCCCGTATACATTTTATTTAATACAGTCATGTGCTGCATATCGTCCATTCAGATGGTGTTCAACCACATGTATGTCTGTGGTCCCATAAAGTTACAACAGAGTTCAGAAATCCCAAGTGGAGAATGGGACATAGCAGATGGAACTGGATGTCAACAAATGCAACAGCTTCCTGCACGCAACGTGTGTCTCATGTCTCCTGTATAGAAAACGATTGTGCTTCCAGGTGTATAATGGTATGGTACATATATAACTGATAATAATAACATGTCTTGATAGTCATAATAAACACCTGTGTTACTGGCTTATGTATGTACTGTACTGTACATTTCTATCATTTTAATGTGAACTTTCCATACTTACAAATAAAAAGTTTACCCTGTAAAACATTGGAGACTCTTGCTGGGGAAAATGAGAAAAATCACTGGGAAGAACTAAATCCCTCGCTACTGTAGCTGGTCTCAAGGCCACACTCCACAATTGATTCTAGATTCCACTCACCCTCAGTTACCGCTGGTGCTTTTTTGTGATTGCTTACTTGGTAGTGTGATACCAGATCCTCATCCCTGAGGAGTCATGCACATGGTCACCATTGCTTTTCTCAGACTCAAAAAAAAAAAAAAAAAAAAAACCTGCCATTGAGTCGTAGTTAAGTTTGTGTGTCAACTTGGCTGGGACTGGTTGAGTGGCTGGGCACCTAGTGGTAGATATTCCCCATGATGAGACTGGTAATCAACTCTGTGGTGGAATCTACTGTAAGTTGCTGCCTTAGGGATGTCGTCTGCTTCCTGTATATAAGGAGACACCTCGGTAACAGTCTTTAGCTGATGGCATGCTTGAACCCTGCACGTAGCCGTGTTCAATAGCCTGCCAGGCTCTTCCTGGCACCTGTACAGACTTTCAGTGGACTTGAATTAATGGCTTGCTGTGTGGTTTGGTAACATTAGGACTGTGCCTTTTTATTTGTCAACCTTGGGCTTGGCAGCCTTGGCAGCCAGCAGCTGAATGAAGAAAAGCCTCCAGCTTCAGTGGGCCGGGAGCAGAAGGTAGAGCTGAAGCCCGAGATTGAGGGGTTTTCACCCAGCCCCTGTTGTTGTTGTTGTTATGTGCAATTGAGTCGGACCTGACTCATAGTGACCCCTCCGGTTTCTGAGGCAGTATCACTACGGAAGTAGATTGCCCCATCTTCCTTCCAAGGAGTGGCTGGTGCTCCAGCCAGCCCCTAAAGCCTGGCATTTTGAACTTGGACTTAAAGCCTCCTAACTGTAAGAATTAACTCTTGTTTGTTTAAAGCCATCCCATTTGTGGTAAATTCTTGTCAAGAGTGGTACTAGGTGACGAATACAGAATATGGTACCAGGAGTGGGGTGCTGCTCTGACACACCTAAAATGTAGAAACAGGAGTGGAGTGCATATCTGAGGAACCAGCAGAGAGACCCCAGCAAGTGGCATGAGAGATGGCAGCGGCAGAGCTAAGCAACTGGCAGACCAGCATGAGAGACAGCAGTAGCAAAACCCAAAGGCCGGCATTAAACAGCAACAGGCTTACCAGCCCTCGGAGGAGAAAGCTGGATGCCACTGGGTAGCAGCTTCCTGGCAGAGTGGGTGGCCTTTGGGCATTAATTGGTAGAAGAGACCGGCATGAAATGGAGTAGGAAGTTGGCCAGACCATGGAGCAAGAGAGCTGAGTGCTTTTGAGGCAGGAAGATTTCCAGCAGAGTGGCTTGCCTTTGGCATTTATTGGCAGAAGAGGAGACACCAAAGAGACAGGAAGCAGATCTGCCTCAACCATGGCCTTGGGGGGTGGAGCCACCAAACCCCCTAGGTTTCAAAGAGCCAGATCTTCACCAACTCGGTTCTGGGGAGTGGGGCTGCTCTTGTTGCAGTGGGATGGAGTTATAGCTGCTGCCCAAGAGTGAGAGGAGCAGGCCCACCAGGCCAAGAGGACTGGAGGCACCCAGTGAAAGAAATCTGTACAGATGCCACCTGTTAAAGATCTGTACAGGTGCCAAGTTGACAAGGGGTGGAATAGTGGTAGTTAAGTTTGTGGGTCAACTTGCCTGGCCCTGGTTGAGTGGCTGGGCAGCTAGTGGTAGATATTCCCCATGATGCGACTGGTAATCAACTCTATGATGGACTCTACTATGAGCAGCTGACTAGCCTTAGGGATGTGCTCTGCTTCCTGTATATAAGGAAAAGCCTTGGGGAATGGTCTCTAGCTTATGGAATGTTTGAACCCTGCATGTAGCCATGTTGTTCAACAGCCTGCCATGCTCTGCCGACCTTGGGACTTAGAATGGACTTGAATTAATGGCTTGCCATATAGTTTGATAACATTGGAACTTTGCCTTTTTACTTGTCAACCTTGGGCTTGTCAGCCTCAGCAGCCAGTAGCTGAGTGAAGAAAAGCCTCTAGCTTCAGTGGGCTGGGAGCAGGAGGCAGAGCTGAAGCCCAAGGTTGAGGGGCTTTCACTTAGCCCCTAGAGCCTGGCATTTGGAACTCAAACACAAAGCCTCCAAAGTATAAGAGAATAAACTCCTGTTTGTTAAAGCATCCCATTTGTGGTATATTCCTGTTGGAGCAGCACTAGGTAACCAAAACATTGTAAATCATCACAGAAGTAGATTGCTTCATCTTCC